CTTGAAAATTGGGTTTGCCACCATAATATGATTTTCTACAAATGTGTTTCATGCAGTTATCCAACACCATGTCTATTAAAAATGATTTAAAGATAGAATTAATGTCCCTTTACTCTCCTTTTCATTTTATGATTTTACAGATTCTAAAAATTTTAATTAACAAAGTAACAGTAAATTGTTACATAAGATGTTATAAGATTCTATATTAAAAAAATAAGAAAAGGGAATCTGTATTTCTGAACATATTCTAATTAAGTGATAGTAAATACTATTATTAGTTGTAAAAAGGATACTCTCATTTTTCAGGGGCTCTAAGACCAAGTCATAGAAAAGATTTAGTTCAGCTAAATAAAAACTATTTTTTTAAGAATAAGTATATTCTAAAGATTTTGAATCTTAAAGTGACCTTAAATTAGTCATTCAAAATATATTCATAATCCTAATTTAAATGTTAATTTTTCGATATTTGTATATCATTCACCCCAACATGTCTAACTATGTAAGGGTAAATGAATTCATTCATCTAAATTAACAAAATATATATACCGCTCTCCCACTTACTTTGAAACTATATATTCAACTTGAATCATTCCATTTCACAGAAAAAAAAAATTATGCTGGTGCTATGTAAGTATCATCTCATAGTCTCAAAGTAATAAGCGTTTACACTAAAATGTACTGTGTCATTTCATACTTGAAAAATAATATTCAACTGTGTTTGGAGGTGATAAATTCAAGTGATTCTTTTCATAGTTTTGCACATAAAATTCATTCATCAGATCCTCAGGGAACACATTTGCTTTTCTATGTCCAAAGGTAATAGCCCTGAATAGAAAACTGATGAAGTAAAATTGTTTTATCCTACAGGCAAAAAAAAAAAAAAGAAAAAACCTTCATGAGGTATGTGGTGAATACCAAGGCTGTGGGGAAAAACACACAGGTAAGCTATTTTCAGCAATTGAGAACCTAGTTCTTCTTATTATTAATAATAATTGAAACATGGTTGCCTTTACAATATTAGTTTCAGGTGTACAATATAGTGATTTAACATTTAAACACATTATGAAATGACCCCAATAAATCCAGTAACCGTCCACACCTTATAAAGCTATGGCAGTGGTACTCTGTTCTCAATGCTGTATTATTACCTCCGTGTGACTTATTTATTTCATAACTGGAGGTTAGCACCTCTTAATCCCCCTCATCTATTTTGACCATCGATTTTGTCCCCTCCAGCATCCACAAGTTTGGAGAGCCCAGGTTAATTTTTGATAAACTTCACAGCAGAACACTCTCAATCCCTGACCATCAAGATAATAGTCCTTTTTCTTTTTAATGTAAAACTTAATGCCTCAGGCCACAGTTTACCTACAGTGATACATGCTAAATTCTTTGTATTGCTACCTCGAGAAACATTATAATTTGTCCCAGACATTTTAGACAATACAATATTTCATCGCAGAACATTTGAAAAATATTTAAAATTCTGGAAGACGTTCCCATCAGCCGTTTGCCTTCATCTTTCTACAGAAACGACTCAGAGAGAGGCATCAGTCACTCCTCGTCGACGCCAGTGATGGACTCTCAGGCATCTCAGGGGCGCTGGGCTGACCCCAGCACCCCTGGGCTCCTGCACACACACCGCCCTCTGTACCCTCACTCCCAGCCCCTCAGGGTTGCAGCCGACCTGGGATTGGTCCTCTTCTCGGCATACACTCGCGATCCTTCCAGGTCCCACCCAGGGCCCTGGAGTCCGTGTCCCCGGGGTGTTGATGGCCCCACGCATCCGTATCCACCTGCTCAACCCTCGCCTAAAGCCAGGTGCGCGGCTGCCTGCTTCCCGCCTCGGAGACGTCTGAGCAAAGCCCCCCGGAGGCGTCCAGACCGCCGAGTCTCTGCTGTGGACACGGGGGCCTCCGGTCCTCCTCGCGCCCCCCCAGTCACCCCACCTGCCCGCACATCTGCCCTGCCGACCCTCCCCCTTCCCCGTCTTGCCCAAGCCCCGTCCACGTCTTTCCGGGATCAACACTGCAGGCTCCCCGATGATGCCCGCTTGCATTCTCCTCCACCCAGCCGCCAATTCACCTCAGATCAGGTCCCACGTACCAACAGAACCCTCTGCGGTTTCCCATTTCCCACTAGATTCAGAGCCTCTCCACACCTCCCTGTCTATGAACTTCTTTCCTTTTACTCTTTCCTGAACCCTCTTGCCTACTCTATTCATCTTTAACTCATGGCTGACTTTCTTTACTTTTGCCACAAATATAAACACAAGAACACACACCATTGAAGGCATTAGTTGAAGCTGTCGTTTTCTGCACTTTATTCTTTTGACCCAGTGATGCATTCATTCTTTGTTCTTACTGATCTTGGCCCCGGCATGTGTATTTTTTCTGCAAGCACTGCTGCAGTTTCCCAAGGAGGCCTTGAACTTGAGGTTTACCTGCACAGGTGGTTTAATCCTTCTTCTTCATACCCTACACTTCCTTTTAACAGCTGGCCACCCAGACAGCTCGGGACAAAGGGGAACAACAGTGGGCAAGGGAAACAGAAGGTGAAAGAGATGTCAGAATTTCCAGTGGGCAATAGGGCGCTTAGAACCTGACACGCTACAGTTTCTGCAATGAAATAAAAAACAGCTCTGAATTCCCTGTAACGGGGAAGTTTGACTAGTTTTACAATTCTGATTATTGGTTTCCCTCTCTATGTGTGTGCATGCTAAGTTGCTCAGTTGTGTCCGACTCTTTGCAACCCTACGGACCGTAGCCCACCAGGCGCCTTTGTCCGTGGGATTCTCCAGGCAAGAACACTGGAGTGGGTTGCCATGCCCTCCTCCAGGGCATCTTCCCAACCCAGGGATCAAACCTGTGTCTCTCACATCTCCTGTATTGGCAGGTGGATTCTTTACACTAGTGTCACCTGAGAAGACTACCCTCCCCCATCTCTATTCTCAGCACTAACTTTCTGCACAAAACGTGAAAGGAGAGAGATCCTAACAAGCAAACAGAAAGAGTCACCACTGTGTTTACTCCAAGGCTATGGAGGATAGCTCTAAGGTAGACATACATTGCTAGCATCATGACAGCTTTTTTCTTGAGCAAGAATTGTTTTTACAATATGAACGCTGTAAATATTGGAACTGATAGGTTTCCATCTCAGCTTTGTCTGCAATAAAACTTATAGACAAGCTTATGGATCATCTCTAACAAGTATAAAGCCATCTGTGGCATGCTAATTCTCCAGAAAACATATTTTCTCTTCTCTGACTCAACTCTTAAGTTCTTAGCATAACGTAGAGTTAAATACCTTAGTGTTATTGATGGCAATATTTTGCTCTCTTACATTATCTTTCACATTTATTTGTATTTTATCTCATCTTGTCGTGTTGTTTATGTTTTTTCAATGGCCTTTAAAGCTTCTGAAAATATTGAGGATAATAAAGAAAAACAATAAAGAACCAGAGAAAAAGAGAAACTATGATACCATTTTAAATAGACAAGCAAATGCCCTTAAGATTTTTTACAGATTTCAGTACTAAAGTCTTGATCTTAATTCTTCCTGCACTTATATTAACTGCTCAATAAATGCAGTTTCAGCTAAGAAACAGGTATCCAACAAGTTAACTGCATTCAACTTCAACATTTAGTTACCATAAATATATTTTCATTTGAGTCATATATATTTATGTAAAAACACCCTGCACACTCACACACACACGATTAAACACTGATAAGCCCTGAAATTATCAGGATCATTTAATTCACAAAATCATGCTATAGGAATCTATCATCCCCCACTTTCCCCAAAAGATGTTTCATTTCAAATTACTGAAAGATCTTTTTCCCTCCAATTTTAATTGGGAGGCAAGGGGAATCAGTGCAGTTGCTCAGTCGTGTCTGACTCTGCGACCCCATGGACTGCAGCACGCCAGGCTTCCCTGTCCATCACCAACTCCCGGAGCTTGCTCAAACTCATGTCCATCGAGTCAGTGATGCCATCCAACCATCTCATCCTAGACCCCATATCAATGACTGCTTATTTTAAATGAGCAAAAAACAAAGATTTGTCTTGTGTCTCATTATTTATGTTGCCTAACAACTGGGGCCTCAGTTTCTTCATTAATTATGTAAGAACTTAAACTAGAAGATTCCTAAGATTGTCAAAGTCAATGTGAAGGTAGAGAAGCTGCATAAAATGAAAGATCAGCACGTTCTTTTCAACATGACATACATTTTCAAGAAAAATTTAATGCTCAAAGTCAATTTTTTAAAAGCCAAAAGTCTTTAAATTTTCCTTTTAGAAGAAAGCCAAGTGTCTATTCAGCAGAAACAAATTTAAACTGTGTGACTTCTATGGCTGTCAGAAATAAGATCTTTAGGGAAAATAGAGGGTATTATATGGAGAAGGCAATGGCACCCCACTCCAGTACTCTTGCCTAGAGAATCCCATGGATGGAGGAGCCTGGTAGGCTGCAGTCAATGGGGTCGCTAGGAGTCGGACACGACCTGAGCGACTTCACTTTCCCTTTTCACTTTCATGCACTGGAGAAGGAAATGGCAACCCACTCCAGTGTTCTTGCCTGGAGAATACCAGGGACACCAGAGCCTGGTGGGCTGCCGTCTATGTGATCCCACAGAGTCGGACATGACTGAAGCGACTTGGCAGGGTATTATAATTATTTGATGGCAAAATTATTTGATACCTAACCAAACACTATAAAATCATGAGATGATATGAATTTGTGAAATATCTCTTCTCTATATAATGGAAAATATTTCTTATTTTTTGTGAGGGCAGTGAGAACCTACTTCTTTTATTGTGTATGTATCTTTATATCACATGTCCAATTTAATTGACATCTTCAAAATTATAAAAATACAGGGCCATATGGAAATTTGGATCAAGGATTTTTTAAGTAGAAATGGTGAATCATTCAACTGAAAATGTATACTGATAGCTCAAATAGTTTCCAATTTATTTTGAAATTGTCCTTTCAAAAGTTACCGGAGGAAAGCACAGTGCACCCTGCTGAACCTTCGATCAAAGCGTTCAGGGTGCTCGTGTCTCAGCGCTAAGTCCTCTCTGAGATGGGGAAGCCCCGGCGTCTTCCCTCCCCTGCACACCCCCACCCAGACAGCCTTGCTGCTGTCAGCTGGGAGGGCAGCGGAGGGTGCAGAGAAGTTTGTGCTGTGAGCTGGGGCCCCAGCTTCCCTAGGGACCCTCTTGGCCCCTTGGTCTATACATCTTATACCTGGATAACGAATCTACCTTTGGTCGTTGGTTTCCATTTGCAAAGCTACATTTTGCAAACGGAGACAAACCTCCAGGAACAGTGGTTCCAACTGGAAGGAGGCCCCGCATCAGCCACAGCAATCTTGCCTCTCTTCCCCACTCTAGCACTCAGACGTGCTCATACTCCAGGATTCCGGGGCTCCTAGAATCAGAGCAGCTCTGCCCTGTGCAGTCTGGGATGTGCCTGTTGAGAATCCAAGCCGCTCTCTCTGCCCTCTGAGACTCTGTGCCTGAGACACTGTTGTCCATCTAACAGCTTTTCATTTTTTAGCCATAGCTCATCATCTACCTCAGAGGGATAGTATGAAATTTAATGAGATTGGGCCCAGAGCATACTACGAGCTCCTTGAAAGATAAGACAGTACACTAAATATTGGAATCATCACCTGAGTTTCCACTTTCAGATAACAGTTTTTCGGGTTTGTTCCCCCCCCCCAAAAATAAAAGCCCTAAAAGCTTCATAATCAGAAGTCACTAAATGCTTGCTTTTATATTTTCCTTTCTGTATTTATACACTAAAGTATTATGGGCCACTGGTGCTAAGTCTGTATTTTTCTTATGTTCACAACTATACACTCATCTATGCAGTTAATAAACATTTTGTAAGGCCCCATTATATGTTAGCGTTCCCCAAGATTGAGATCCAGAAGAAAGGAAGAGGAAAGATCTTTAGGTTGTGAAATCATTCAGACAATGATGCTGCAGATCGGCAGGGATGAAAGCTTGATGCCACTTAAAAGATGTTTGGAATTAATTTGCTCTCACCCTGTGATTTTTAATGATTCACGGAAAATGCAAAAGCGTTATTTTTAACCCCCTGAACTTCACCAGATGTTTGTGCCCAGAGATAAGTTTATCCTTCCAGTTTGGAGTCACTTATTAAAATTGCTCATAAGGTTTCATTAACCTGAGACCACCTGAAGATGATTAGCTGGTTTGCATAAAGGTGGATCCATTATGTAAAGGATGGGCTGAGACAGACATCAACAAGGTGAACTGAAATAAAGCTCTGAAATGCATGTGAAGAAAGCATGGTCTAAGTGACTAGTAAAATAGGCGCATTCCTAAAAATAGTCTCATAGAAGTACACGCATGCACATGTGCATACATGCACACACATGTGCTCACACATGCTCACAAGAACATAGGAAGGCACAGAGCGTCTCCTTTATCCCATCATCGCTAAGATACTGGAAGTGAACATGAGGAACGGACTTAGGTGAGGTCTCTAGAAAGAGGCTCAGCCTCTGAATTTGTTTTCTCATGTAAACTGGAGCAATCACAGCTTTCTGCTAGGGCTGCTGAATACAGTAAATGAGAGAATGCACATCAGGGGCTGGCCTTGCTCCTGGCTACACAAACATTCCACTAGTTGCAGTCCAGTTACAGGACTACTTACAGTGCTGCTGCTGTGTCGTTTCTGTGGGTATTAAGGAAAAAAAAGACTACTTTTTACTAGCTACTAAGACCATGCTCTCTTTACATGCATTTCAGAATTTCATTTAAATTTACCTTTGGATGACTGTCTTAGCCCATCCTTCTACACAAGAAATTCGCTTTTATGCACACCAGCTAATTATCTTCAGATGGTCTTAGATTCACTACGAAAACTCCCTAAAAATTAACCAATGATCAATAATTTCATGAAAAATGGGCACGGATTCTTCAGTAATCAAAGAACAGCGGTTAGTATGATGCCGTATTTCCTGTCTGGGAGAGAGTCACAGGCTTGGAATATTAGTAGAGATCACGACTGTGATGGAAAATGGTTTGTGTGGTTTTTAAAATGGTTCTCTGCACTTTCATTTTTCAAAAATGTGGAAGACTTTTTTTTTCCTTTATTTTTTATTAGTTGGAGACTAATTACTTTACAATATTGTAGTGGTTTTAGACTTTTTAATAATGAAAAAGTACCCTACTTCTCTTTTAGGGTAAAACTGCCTTGAAAAGATTGACCACGCCCCCCCCCACCCCCCACCATCGTCCCGCATCTTTTAAGATGTGAAATCCAACCAAGCCTGTGAGGTCTGTCACAGTAGGCATTCAGACAAGGACAACATCAGCTGTCCTCCCTAAAATCTTCAGGGCCCCAGTCTGCAGTGGCCAGGCCTCACCCACCAGTGAACACTCGGCCCTGCTAACCAGCTGTGCGTCATCATTAAACACATCCTCTGGTCTCTACTGTGTCCACAGGGTGTCATGAGGCTTTCCCAAATAACTTGCTAGAACAGAGGATGGTTTATGGCGCAGTGATTATACTTTCAGCCTAATCTTACCTGTTACACACGCACCCAGCCCCTTTACCTTTTAGGAAACGAGCTGGCCTGCGTTATCCTAGAAGGCAGCCTCAGGGTTTCCCCACAGTATCCGGCATAGGGAGGGTGTGGTGCCAAGGGGATGCTCAGGGCAGACTCAGAGACTGAGGTCAGGGCACCTGCAGCTCTCAGGATGAGTGGCCCTGGGACAGGAGGCAACATCCGTCACCACTGCATTCTCACTCCCAGGGCCAGCCTGGAGCTGAGTTCTCATGGGGTCTCTGGGCACTGCCTGCTCCCTGATTCTGGTGGGACCGACGGGAAGACTGGAAAACAGAGAACAGAAATCAGACACTTGAACAGAGTCCGTGTCTCAATTCTCCTCTGTTGCCCTGACCTGCTCTGCAATCTGAAAGTGACCTGTCAACAGAAGAGGGCGCTTCCTTGGCTTTCCCTGATTCTGCATGAGAGACACTGCTCTCGGCAGTCCGTGAGCTGGCTCTCAGGATGCAAACACCCCAGCCACGGTTTGCACTTCATCCTTGAGGACTTCTTACTGTTTCCTTTGTGTTTTCATAACTAGAAGCTTTTGTTCACGCTGTTCTCTCTGAACTTTATGCTCTCCTTTCCAGTTTATTTCTATTGAAACAATCAGAATTCATTCCTGCCTCATTGCTTTGCGTTTTTTGTTTTGTTTTCAAATAGCATTTATTTGGGGCTCCCCTGGTAGATCAGCTGGTGAAGAATCCACCTGCTATGCAGGAGACCCCAGATTGATTCCTGGGTCAGGAAGATCCGCTGGAGAAGGGATAAGCTACCCTCTCCAGTATCCTTGGGTTTCCCTGGTGGCTCAGATGGCAGAGAATCAGCCTGCAATGCGGGAGACCTGGGTTTGATCCCTGGGTTGGGAAGATCCCCTGGAGGAGGGCATGGCAACCCACTCTAGTATTCTTGCCTGGAGAATCCCCATGGACAGAGGAGCCAGGCGGGCTACAGTCCACAGGCTCGCAAAGAGTCAGATGCGACTGAGCACACAGCACACAGCATTTATTCAGCCCACACTATGAATCCTGCAGTGTGGCGGGCCTGTGCCTACCCTCAAGGGCTAAGACAGGAGACTGGGAAAAGACAGGTAAGTAGCATTTCTAAGATCTGTGCCACCTGCATGCATTAACAAATAAGGCAGAGGCCTGGGGAGATAAGGAAAGACTCAACTTTAAGCCTTAGACAAGACCATCAGACAAGACGCTCTCATCACAGGACAGTGAAGGGTCTGGGGATTTGGGGACCAGGGGGATTGCTCATGCTGGCTGGAGTGACAGGCAGGTGGGGGGAGATGAGGTCATCCATGCAGGAGAGAACCATCCCACCCTTCTTCCCTCCCACTGCTCAACGTAACATCCTCCTGGAAGCTTGGGGCTCAATTCTGAGGACTGCATCCTCACAGATGGAAGGGAGCTGAGCGGGGGATCCATGAGGTGTGAAGGGTTTGTTACAAAGTGCAGAGGCCATTCCCAAGGGCAGTCCTTTGCAGTGTGGGCAGGAGAGAGAGAAACAGACCAGGAGCGGGCAAGCGGCTGGGCACTGGGACCAGCGATCATCTCTACACAGTGTTAAAAGGCTCAAGTCAGACACCACCATTCACACTAAACCTTCCCTTCCAGAAGAAAGCTGGCATTCGGTGCACTCTTTGCATAGTGCCTTCTGCCCTCAAGTTCACGTGGCCCCTCTGCACTTCACGAGCAGACAGCGGTCAGCCCGCCCCACCGGAGTACCGGCTCCCCGACCCCCACCACCCTCCCATCACCTGCCCGTAGACAAGGTCGTCAGCCCACACGCGCTAGCTGACCGGATGTGATTAGAGTTGACTACTTTTCTATAGGGGGTGGAATCCATCTTTACCTATCTGTTGAAAATGTTCAAGTAGCTTTATCATGTTGCGTTACAACTTCTTTCCCCTTTGTTTCTTTCTCAGGAATCCCAAGAACTCTGAACGCGTACCATTAATCATCCTGAAGTCCTAATACAAATGTTGACCACAGTGTTCTGCTCAGGCCAACAAGAATTTTCAAAGTTACAATAATACCAAGGGGAAATTTCTCAAACTGAAAGAAAGGTTCCAACAGTTTTATTCACTATCTTCTATATGTATGTGCAGAGTCCTTCCCTTCCTTCTCCCTCAAAATCTAACCTTATCTGACAAGTGATCTGACCCAGACGATCTGTCCAGAGTGTGTAAAACATTTAAGGATAAGGGTCTCTGGACAAACAGTCCATGCACAAGCTGGAGACAGCTGTGTGGCCATCTAGCTAATGGTAGCACAATGCAGGGTCAGCAAGAAAGCTTCCCGTCACCATCAGCCAGGCAACCCAGAGACCACAGGAAACACACACTTGGGACACGAAGACCCACGACCTTGGAAGTGAGGCTCACCATCTCCTTAGCGCTTCCTTTCTGGACGCAACACGGGGCGCTCCAGGTGACAGAGCGCAGCTGAGTCCCGCCTCTCCTCTGTACGGGGGTTGTCAACTCTACCTCTCAGGAGGATTTCTGCTGGCTCTTTGCCCAGTGCTGCGCTTAGTCACTCAGTCCTGTCTGACTCTGCGGCCCCATGGGCTGTAGCCCACCAGGCTCCTCTGTCCATGGGATTCTCCAGGCAGGAATACTAGAGTGGGCTGCCATGCCCTCCTCCAGGGGATCTTCCCAACCCAGGGATCGAACCCAGGTCTCTTGCACTGCAGGTGAATTCTTTACCATTTGAGCCACCAGGGAAGCCCTTTATCAGAATTCTTATTGGAAATGTAACCATTCACTACACAACGGAAGGGGTTATCTTTTCTTAGGGGATAAATCCTTCTAGACAAAAAGACAAATTGTTTAATTTCACATAAAAAAGTTTTTAAAAGCAATTCCATGAACCTAAGGAAATGCTCTTGATGACTTTAGAATAATAAATTGATTTGAAAAAATAAAACGCATCAATTACTGTTATTGGATATTACATTTTTCAATTAAACTCTCGTCTGGCACCGTCTGAACGATACAAACATTTCGTAATTAACATTTTTGCATCATTAAATTCTTTACCGGGTATTATGTGGCCGTTAGATGTGCTGAGTCTACTGTGTCAACAAAGAAACATGTTTCTATGATTCTCTGTCTGGATTTTCAACTTCCTGCTGCTTGGTTTGCATCACCAACCTGTTAAGTGTTGTTATTTGCAGGGGCCCCACTTTCTATTTCCATTTGGCATCGTTCTTCCCACACCCCAGATCACCACACCTCCTTCCGTGGTCTCATACTGGACAGCACGTCAGTGTCTGCTAGCCTCCTGACCTGGCCTCCCCAAGCCACTTTTCCCCTCCTTATTTCTGTCGCCATCCCACTCTGCCTGCACCCCTGCCACGGAGGGGAGGAGAGACCGGTGCAACTGTGGATGAAGTCAAATGATACCTTACATTTTTTAAGCCCTGTGTTTGTTGTAAAGGCAATCACGCTTTCACTTAATCCTCATCAATCCAAATAAGTACTTTCTAGTCTCTTCGAACGAGTGAAGAAAATGAGATTTGTAGATTTAAGCTATTTTTCCCAAAGTCACAGAACAGGGCATTGGGGAGCGGGGATGGGCCGTCTGCACTGACTGCGTGGTGACCACCTCTCTGAATCGCACATGGAGCTCCACCATGGAAGCCCACCCAATTAAAAATAAACACATTTAAAAAGAAACAAAATACTTTCTTACAAGAACATGTAAAGATGTAATACTAAACTGTCAGGTGAAAACACATAAAATATGGTCAAAATGTTGCTTAACAGGCTTTTAGTTACTCTATTTAGCTACTGCTTTTAATCATGTTATTCAGGCAATACACCCACAGCCTGGGTCATTATATGGTAAAGAATTAAGTGTGAAATGTGAGATAACAAGCAAAAACAAGCAAAACAGTAGATGCCTTTGACTCCTATGCCTTATGGAAGCTTGAACTGAAATTTTTGGAACACTTTATATGGGTTTAGAGTGACAGCTTCTCTTCTCATGTGGTAACATTTCAAGTATGTTTCTCCCAAGGTAAACTGAGAAAAATATCTATACCCAGCAGTCACTGACTATTTTTTTCAGTGGAATCAGGAATTTTTGGATTTCTTACTAACCAGGCCACAAATAATTACAGAGCCACAAGGACTATTTTTCTGTGAGCGTGTCAAAATGAAAAATAATCCTGGCTAGACTGTTTCTGAAACCAGTGACCTTCTCTGAAGCATTCATGGAGTAACAGGTTTACAATTCAGTTGCATGCATTTCTCTTTCCTCCCAAGGAACTTGATCACTAGATGACATTCTGAATGTGAAGGATTAATTGTGAGCGTGGCATTCATCTGCAAGGAAGGAGGGAAGGTGTGGTAAGTGCGGAGGAGAAGGGGAGGAAGTGGGCAGGAAATCTCAAAGCTTCAACTGCACAGAAAATTCTAGGATGATCCTTCACTTTGTATAAATGTGTCCACAGCTCGTGAAAAGTGGGTAAAGAGGGTCACTAAACTAGGGCACCATCCTACACCATCCTGGGGCAAAGCCATTAACTTCTTTGAACACTGGTTTCATTTGTTGTAGCTTAAAAAGCAATTAGCAAAATATTTGGCGTTTTTTTTAATATATGTATATACATATATAACTTCCCTGGTGGCTTAGATGGTAAAGAATTTGCTTGGAATGCAGGAAACTCAGTTTGATTCCTGGGTTGGGAAGATCCCCTGGCAAAGGGAATGGCAACCCACTCCAGTATTCTTGCCTGGAGAATCCAATGGACAGAGAAGCCTGGCGGGCTACAGTCCATGGGGTCACAAAGAGCTGGACATGACTGAACAACACACACACACACAGACACACACTGCCTTTCCTTAAGCCTGTTGCTGTTGTTTAGCCACTAAGTCATGTTCAACTCTTTTGCGACCCGTGGACTATAGCCCGTCAGGCTCCTCTGTCCATGAGATTTCCCAGGCAAGAATACTGGAGGGGGTTGCCAGGTCCTCCTGCAGGGTATCTTCCTGACCCAGGGATCAAACCCGGGTCTCTTGCATTGCAGGCACCTTCTTTACCACTGAGCCATCCTGGGAAGCCAGGCAGCCTAAATGAAGATTGCGAGTTGCAGATTTGACTCACACTCCATGTATCTAACTTTATCTCTAGGGCCGTACACTTCATATATTTTGGAACAGTTTCAGCTTCCTGCGGCTTTAAAAATGTTCAGAAGTATTAATTTATTAGATCAAGAAATTAATATTTTATTTTTTCAGAGGCTTGCTGGTCTTTTCACAGAAATTTACAGCAAAAAAAAAAAATACGCCTTTTCTAGACTTCAGTTTTATTTGGAAAATATAGACATCTTTAACTATACACAATAAGATAGGATTCAAGGCATTTTTGCCTTTATGAATTCCCTCTTAGGTACATCTAGGACTTAACATGTAACAATTTCTCAAGACTGTTTGTTGAAGGAATGACAGTCTTTTCTCTGCTGAGGGACAGGAACTGGGTGTGGGGTTGCAAAGCAGGAGCTCGGATTGCAGGGGATCTTCACCTCACCTGGACCACGTGTGCAGGTGAGCGCTGGCCAGAATCACTGTAAACGCTAGAGGATGCGACTCTTGGAGCAGCGGCCCCCTCTGAGTAAAGCGCCTTCACGGGGTGCCCGCACCCACCCCTAGGACCTCTTCAGAGCTCCCTCCCCAAGGGGGTCCAGAGCCCCAGCGCTTCTCTTGTGCAATGGTTTTGTTTAAATGTGGTATCATTTAAGCAAAGATGTGTTGGCTTAGGAGTATCTGCCGCTCACAGGGGACTGTAAGCTCTGGGAGGGCCCGACCGTGTCTGCCCGGCCCGTTCTGCAGCCCTATCGAGTGGACCCCTCCGGCCACCGCCAAGGGGCCGTTCCCAGGTCAGAGCAAGTCCGAGTCTCGGGGGAAGGCTGTCTGAGTCCAAGTTCAGCAAGCTTTCCAATCCACCACAGCGGCAGGCGTGGCCCCAAACTACTCAAAAAGTCTCACCTTTCTTCCTGAGTTGTAACTTTAAAATTAAATTATGTTTAGCTTTAATTTTAGTAACAAACATTTTTTCTACTCAAAGGTGAATCACATAGCTGAGGTTCGACAGAAAACAACAAAATTCTGTAAAGCAACTATCCTTCAATTAAAAAAAATAAATTAATTAAATGCATGCACACATGTACAAGAAGGTTTAGACATATTAAAAAAAAAAAACAACGGTGAATGGCATAAGCAGTGCTGTGAGAAAGCACAATTTTATCCTGATTTTCTGCTGCCCCTTGACAATAGAGACAGTGGGGAGATGTTTCCGTTTCCCTGGTGAATCTCCGGCACAGTCTGTGCCATTTCTGCACACGCAGAGACAGATGGGCTTACAGGCCTGTATGTGGCAAACACTTAATTCTGTGAGAGAACGGACAGCGAACAGTGCTGAAGTCCGAGAGGAAGCCAGCGCTGGGTCTGCCTGTTTTCTACAGGGGCGGGGGTGTTTGTGCAGGGTGTGTGAGTGTGTGTGTGAAGGTGTGTGGGTGTGGGTGAGCGTGAGTGGGTGTGTGTGTGTGTGCGTGCACGTGTACCAGTGGGGGTGTGTGTGTGTGGGGTCTCTGCCCCCTCACAGCTCTGGAGTGTGGACGCTGGGCTCCCAGAGAGGCCTGAGCGAGCCTGAGCCGCCTCTTCCCTGGGGGAGCTGGGGAGCCTCTCAGAGCTGCCTGAAGGCCCCCCTTCCCTGCCCCCTCCCTCCTTGCCCCCCTCCTCCCTCCTCGCCCCCTCCCCTTGACCCCCTTTGGCCCCCCTTTCCTGCCCCCCCTCCTTGGCCCCTCTTCCCCTCCCCTTGCCCCCCGCCTTGGCCCCCGCCATCACAGCTGCCCTCTCTCGGGGCTCACTCGGGACTCTTCCCGGCCTCCGGGCTCCCAGCTGAGGCTGTGCTGTCGGGTGTCCCGGGCACCTGGGGCCGGGACCACCTTGCTCCTGTGACCACATCACCGGCGTGAAAAGCATCCACGCAGCCTCGCTGCAAAGCCTCGGCAGCCAGCAGAGCCCGGAGCTGCGCGACCCCTCAGTCGTCAACGCCCGTGTGGCCGCCCACTGCCCTCACCGGCCTCCTCGGGCACCGGCCAGCCCCTGGCGGAGCCTCCCACGGCGGGCCGCGCCTGTCGGGTCCCCAAACCTTTCCCGTCCCACGATCCTGCTGGGCTGGGAGGCAGCGACCCCTGCCTGGGACCGCCTTCGGCTCTGAGTGTAGAGACATCGCCCAGGCCGTTTCCCGTGGAAACCTGCAGAGGGGTGGACGCGCTTTGATCACCCCCGCTTTGAAGTCTGGTCCCCTATTCTGGAGCCTCAGGAGTCTGAGGGCAGAGGCTCCCATTCTACCGCCATCACGGAGCTTGAAGCCAGGATGCAGACGGGCATCGGAGAACCCAACCATTCTGGGTTCCCAGCCCCACAGTCAGGGGCGAGTCCCCAGTGGTCCCAGGGGACCAGGCAAGTGGACCCCCCTCTGTCCAGCTCTCCTCCTCCCAAACTGAACAGTGAATTACAGGTTTCAAAGATGGAAAACCATCAACATCTCAGCATGTCACACTGGCGTGATGCTTTTCCTTGGCAAGGTAGGGAAAAAACATGTCATTTCAGTTTAGTTATCTCTAGTGGATTATTTCGCTACCAACAATAAGGGATTTCAGGATATTTAATACTTTTCCATGAGCACAGCTGTGGACAGGTATCTTCAACTTGGGACTAAGTTTCTAAATAACATAATGCCTAGCTAACCAACCTCTCTGACTAGCTGGCGTGGGTGGATGCTGATGCTGTGGGTCCCCGAAGGCCCGCAGGCTCCTGTCACCTCACTGCCCTTCAGGCTGCCTCCCCCGCCCCGCTGGGGCTCCTGGGGACCGGAGGAACACACCCTCTGCTCTGCGCACACCTCATCTGCCCTCCTGGTCAAAAATACTCCTTTGAGACACAAACTCTCTCACTTCAGCATCTCTGTTTCCCCAGGAGCACTAAAAGCGGAAAAGGGGCATGAGGAATCCCATCCACGGAACTCTCCAGGCAGGAACACTGGGACGGGTGGCTATTCCCTTCTCCAGGGGGTCTCTCCAACCCAGGGATCGAACCTGGGTCCCCCGCACTGCAGAGGATTCTTTACTGTCTCAGACACCAGGGAAGCCCTAAAGTATTTTCTACAAACTACTCAGAATCGATCATATGGGAAAGCAAGGGCTGGAATTCCAGCACAGGGTGAGAGCAGCTTGAAACAAAGAATGGTCTAACATTTTTTAGGGCTTCCCAGCTAGCTCTCCTGGTAAAGAACGCACCTGAAATGCGGGAGACGCAAGAGACGTGGGTCCAGTCCCTGAGTCAGGAAGATCCCCTGGAGGAGGGCATGACAATCCACTCCAGCATCTTTGCCTGGAAAATCCCAAGGACAGAGGAACCAGCTGGGCTACAGTCCATGGGGTCTCAAAGAGTCAGACACGACTGAGCACACACACACAGAATAATAAAAAGGAAAAAAAAACTTTGTATATTCACTTGGGCTCTTGATGGGTATGTTTAGAAGCAAAGTTTATGGGAAGGAAAAGGGATAAGACAGGACACTATGTTATTTCCCAAAGACATTCATATTTTCAGTAGGGTTTAATAGAAAATTGTGTAAATTAGTTTAACCATGTTTCTAGTCTTTTGACATAGACTATACTATTTTTAAAGGGAAAACTTTCATCTTCCCTGAAGCAAAATTTTGTTTCAACAATGTCTCTCTAAATCTTTAATGGGTTCAGTGGGTTTCTCTGGAAATTCAGACTCCAACCACATACAGCACACCAGCATTGAGGGGAAAGGCACGCTAATGAAAGCAAAGTGCAGAAACACAAAGAGGAAAATCACCTGTATTGTTGTTGTCGTTGTTCAGTAACCCAGTCATGTCTGACATGCCAGGCTTCCCTGTCCCTCACCATCTCCTGGAGTTTGCCCAAGTTCATGTCCATTGCATTTGTGACGCCATCCAGCCATCTCAACCTCTGTCACTCTCTTCTCCTCCTGCCTTCAAATCTTTCCCAGCATCCAGGACTTTTCCAGTGAGAGGGCTCTTTGCATCAGGTGACCAAAATACTGGAGCTTCAGCTTCAACATCAGTCCTTCCAATGAGTACTCAGGGTTGATTTCCTTTAGGATTGACCGGTTTGATCTCCCTGCTGTCCAAGGGACTCTCAGGAGTCTTCTCCAGCACCACGGTTTGAAGGCATCATTTCCTTGGCACTCTGCCTTCTTTATGGTCCAGCTCTTACAACCGCATGTGACCACCCTATTGATTCATTTAACCAGTATCCTGGAGCTCCAAGTCTTTGCTAGTCGACAGTGAATAGGTTAGACCAGGCGCGTCTCTCGTAAGGCTTACATTCTAGTTAGGATGGGGGGAGCAGATAACAAATAAACCACAAACATCATTAATGATGGTGCTGGGTGTGATAAAGTAGGTGGGGCGGCAGGGGGGAAGCCCTCTGAAAGGGTGATATTTGATGGAAGAACTTGATGAAAAGCCATGGGAATGTCTGGGTGTAGAACTTTTCCAGAACAGTCTAAGGTTGCACGGTAAAGGCAATGTTGGTATGTAGGAGAGACAGCAAGAGGGCCGACAGATGGGGTAGGAGTGAGGAGACTCTCCGAGGAAAAGCCCAGAGGCAGCGTCAAAGGCAGCATGTCCGTCACTCCGCAGACGCGCCACCCTAGCTCCAGTGTCTGCGACCTGCCGCCTGAGAGGCCGGTGTGAAATTTCAACACCAAGGAAGAATTTGCCTGAGGACCCAGAGGTCAGGGAAAAGACTGGTAGAGTGTGGCTCCTGGGTCTGGTGACGTAAGACGCATTTCCTAATGAACATGCCACCGAAGTGAAGCAGATGAGGATCTCTACGCGGAGGCCACGGCTGAGGCTGATGGTGATGAGAGCGGGAGGGCACCTTTTAAATGGAGGAGAAGGACCAAACGAAAGGACCCAGGACAGAAGGGCCCAGCCAGGACAGCCCAGACTCTTGTTCCGTCCCTAGAGGGGCCAGGAAGGCCCCTCGGGCAGCCTGCTTCCCTGGGGACGCTTTCTCTGCAGGCCCCTTGAAAACGTCTGGAGGGGAGTCAGCAAGATTGGGAGCAGCTGGGTGTGTCTGAGCTCTCCCCACCTCCGCCCTGTGTCACCTTTTCCTCTGTCTCTACTCCTCGGCCCCCCCGGCTCTTCTCCTTTGTCCTCTCTCCCCTTTCTCTTCCCTGCTCCTTTTGACTGGACGCTACTGTTTACTTTTTAAGATGACAATTTGTTATAACGGATGCAATCCATAATTATTAACCATTCTTTGTTTCAGGGTCCCACATAAATAAAGAATCACACTGGAGTTGAATTTTTTTTCTCAGCTTTACAATAAATGAAATTAAATCCATCTTGGGGCTAGGCTGACAATTAAAGGGACTATACCTTGGTCTTATAGACTTTGTCCAAAACAGAAATTCAAGGGGTGGTCCTTTGAGTCTACAATGGAACATGAAAACTAATAATATCAGAAGATTTAATTTTAAAATATGACATCAGAAAGTCATGACAGATATTTTCAAAGCTGGATTTACTTTTGTGATGTTTGAATTCTCCATGCAAATCTGAGAATGCAATAATAGTGGGAAGAAAAATATCTTTCCTTCTAGAAGAAGCTTTCAGATTCTTGATACGTGTAACTGAGTAAGTCGCGGCAACTCTGGAAACATTCCTGGCCTGCCTCTTGGTTTTATTTGTCTCTATTCCCTTTGGCAAGTTGAAGACACTATTAAAGGTCACATCTCATGAAGCACTGCATGTATGTTATCATTTTTGTAATTAAATAATATAGCTCCCCATAGACATAACTAAGTCTGGACTTCTACCTTTTCAGAAGCAATTAGTATTTAAATTCGGCTAACACTGTTGTGTTAGCTGATTTAGTGCAGTTAGTCTTCAAAGCAGATCTTACCATACTGAGTTTACCGATGAAGAACATGGGCATAGGGGAGTTCAGGGATTGTTTCAGAGGTAAGAACGAAGGAAAAACTAAATTGACATTCAAATTCAGTTCTGCTGTGATCTCAAGTCCATGCTCAGCCCATTCTATTACACGTTAAGTGTTAATGCAATCAAAGTCTCGATGAGAACACTCACAATGCAAGAAAAAGAGATATGGGGCTTCACTCAGAGCGAAGGGATGTAAATTAGAGAATGTCATATTCTCCACGTGCAGTTCACAGGTCCAAAAGCATCTAAAAGTTTCTAAGACTTGACTTCCCAGGGAGAATTCAATGTAGGACATTCTGAATGATAACTTCTAAGTGTGTTTGTTCTGAGAAGCTGAAGTGGTTTCTGCGTTGTCTCCTGGGGAATTAGTGAGTGATTTGAACTAAAGAAAGCATTCAAGATTAAAGATGTTTTGATTAAGTGGCGCAGATCAACTGTTTACACCGAGAGTGCTCATCTTAAAATTTAGGAAATAAAAACTACATAGCGAGGAATGGTACAGACTCCGAGTCGGGAGGAGTAGTCATGAGGAAAGTAATATTTTCAACTAGTCTACCAAACACGATCAGAACAAACACTTTGAGAGATGGGAGGATTGGTGACGGATGCCACTCGGAACAGTGTCTTAACCAAAGGTTCAACTGCTGCAGTGGAGAAGATGAAGAGATAGAGAGGTAAAAGTTTAATTATTCACACTATACACACTTGTAGAAAAGTTCTAACAGTCATGAAGAAGGTACACCAACAAGATGATGGTAAAAATATAGGTCACTCGTGCATTCTTGCAGAGACTTGGAAAATCAATTTCATGTTATGTAAATCTGAGCCAGAGTTCATTGCTGGTTGTGAGCTGAATAGAGTTCCCCAAAATTCATATGCTGACAACCTCATCTCAAGTATCTCAGAACGTCCCTCACGTGGAAATAGGACCATCACAAATGCAAATAGTCAAGTAAAGATGAGAGCATTAGGGTGGTCCCTAATCCAGCATGACTGCTATCCTTATCAAAAGGGGATGGACACACGCACGCCAAACAGGGGTCGGAAGATGAAGGCAGAGACTGGGGTGATGCAGAGATCAAGGGATGCCAGAACGTGCCAGCAGCACCTTCTCCCTCACAGCTTCAGAAGGAACCATCCTCGATCACAGCCGGGCAGGCTCCAGGCGGTGAGACAGTATCTGTTGTTGGGGTGCTCAGTCGCTCAGGCGTGTCCAGCTCTCTGCGACCGCCTGGACTGCAGCCCGCCAGGCTCCTCAGCCCATGGAATTTCCCAGGCAAGAATACCGGGGTGGGCTGTCATTCCCTACTGCAAGGGGTCTTCTCAACCCACGGGTCGAATCCCCATCTCCTGCCCTCGCAGACAGATTCCTTACCACTAGCACCACCTGGGAAGCCGCTGGTTCTTTACGCCCGCCTCATTTGTGGTCCTCTGTTGTGGCTGCCCTTAGCAGATCAACAAAGTACCCCGGGATGTACTGCTCTTCTAACTTTCTATACAGATTGTATCATATCATAAGAGTGGCATCCACATGCACTTTGCTTTTGAGATCTGAATCAATAAAACGAAGAGCTCGTCTTCTGTCTCCCATGAAGCAGAGGTCCCATTTTCTTAGTAACACGATTTTTTCAAAGTCAAAAAGTGCAGCAACCAACTAACAATGGAATATTGGAAAAGGCAAGTATCTGAAATCCATTTATACTGTGTAATTTATTCTCAAATATTTCATATGAATGTTAGGCCTTGTTAGATGATTTGTGACGTGTTTTGCAAATGTGAAAATTAAAAAATTATATATAAATAAAACAGACATAAAGTCTGAAAAAGATTTAGCAAAAATGTATATTTCTTAAAAAAAA